GAAGTCCCTCCGAAGCTAACATTAATTTGATGCTGGTGTTAGTGTGCCCATCAAAACACACGAGGGATGGTTGGTCATGGAGATAAGCCAGGAATAGCCTAAGAGCTTTAAGAATGGCAGGGTCTCTTAGTCTAGCCAATAAATATCGACCATCAGCTGTATCGGAAGCTCGCGATAATCGCACAATGGGTGGAGTCATCGGGTCCATGATTGATTCATCTTTTTTTCAACTTGTATTCATAACAATTTTTGTGCTGTCTAGTGCCAGGGACTTAGAAACAGCTATAGCCTCCCTGTCAGAACCAATCCTGATAGTTTTATCATCCTTAGTCGGGTTAATCGGGGTTGAGTCAGAGTTTAGTGGTCTACTTCGGCCCTCCGCAGTGTTGGGTTTGAAATGGTGATGAGACTGATGCTGTGGATCTACTGTAATTGCTGCCGACGGTGGCGATGCCTTTAAAAGTGTTGCAGATGAATTAGCAGTCTCTATACCCGTACCTGGAGGCCACATGTTTCTGTCCAAAAGCTGCTTTAGGTGATTTTTGTTTTGAACACCAACTTTGAAATCAGTGTGAGAGCAGTCTTTATTTTGGAGCATTGGAAAGCATCTGATAAACTCCGTGGTCCAAGTTTTTCCTTTACAAAATGAGCAAGCTGTTTTGCTGTAAAAGGATGGGGGATTTTTGACACTACCACATAATGCCAGTTTTCTTTTAGGGCGGAATTCTGAGGTGGGGGACAGACTCGGGAATCAATGACCACTTGCGTAATAGGGGATGTCTCTTCACTATCGGTCTGGGTTGAAATCGACGCTGTAATTGACTTTTTTACAGGTGGCGGGCTGCTCCTAGTAGACGGTTTCTCTTTGCCTGCTAACTTTTCCAACGTGAGCGCCATTTGGTTGACACATTTCCTCAAATCTGCCATTTTCCTTGTTAACTCTTCTTTTGAAGAGATTTGGAATTGGAAATAATTTATAGGTTCTTTGTATCCCACCTCAGCACAAAAATGTTGAAATATTCACATGTTGAGACTTTGACTATGAATAGTCTAGTCTGAATATTCATTTGGGACCGCCTGGCTCAAACTCCATAGTGTCTCCACTCAAAAAAATCGCACGTCATTATTTTTTTAAACCTTCGATATTTTTTTTTTCAGATTAAGCAAGTCGTATTACAGTCAAAACATACCTTTTGATATCTCAAACTTGCCAAATTTGAAAAAAAAAAAAAAAAAAATGGAATAAGGATTTTTGAGCTAAAAAAAACGATTTTTTCTAAAACTTTGACACCCTGTATCTCAGAAATCTCAGAAACTACGCATTTCCGGACGTATGGTTATGGGAACTTTTTTTCTCAAAGTTTTGAAAGAAATCACATCCCGAAGTTACGAACCATACTTAGGAAACACCCTGTATATTTTTCTATTTTTTGACCACTCTGTACAGGGTGGCCCAAATTCGAGCCTCATCATTGGGATCTTGGAAACCGTAAGAGATACGGGGTCGGATAAATTATGGTAAAGTTGCGCAATTTTATGACCAATAGAATGCCGTTTTGAAATTAGAAAGTTTCCGAATACTTCCGGAGATATTCGGAAAAAAGCGAAATATGGTAAAATCGTTTTTATTTTCTCCCATGCTTATTTCATCGTTGTTACTTTTTCTCCTTTAGAAGATGGTGCTACTGAATTTAAAATTCGACGTTTCGTCTTTAGGCGGCCATCTTCAACTTACTTTTTTTAAATACGGACCTGGATTTTTTATTTGCGATTTTGTCATCTTTGGGCATCCTGAAACCAATACTGTTTTTAATTTTTGAATAACACAGTGAAAGAAGCAGGTCCGTATTAAAAAAAAATAAATTGATGATAATTCCAGAGGAACAAAACGTTGGATTTTAAATTTAATACCGCCATCTTGTAGAGAAGAAAAAGTGACAATGGGAATGTGAAATTAGTTTTTCAAAATATTTTTAAATAAAATCAGGAAGAAATCAAAACTATACGAAAAAAATTAAAATTTCTTGTATTTTTCAAATTTTTTCCTGATTTCATTTAAAAAGATTTTGAGAAACTAATTTCACATTCTCATTGTCACTTTTCCTTCTCTACAAGATGGCCGTATTAAATTTTTTATCCAACGCTTCGTTCCTCTGGAATCATCATCAATTTATTTTTCTTAAATACGGACCTGCTTTTTTCACTGTGTCATTGAAAAATTATAAACAGTATCGGTTTTAGGATGCCCAAAGATGACAAAATCGCAAATAAAAAATCCAGGTCCGTATTTAAAGAAAGTAAGTTGAAGATGACCGCCTGAAGACGAAACGTCAAATTTTAAATTTAGTAGCACCATCTTCTAAAGGAGAAAAAGTGACAACGATGCAGGGCCGTAGCCAGGGGGGGGCATTGGGGGGGCAATGCTTTCTCTTTTAAAGGATGATGCCCTACCTTTGAAAATCAACATACATTAAGGTTTCTTTAAAAAATTTAAGAGTAGATGAGATGATGCCTAAAGTAGATAGGTCTGAAATCGATTAAGCGAGGATGAATGTTTCCGAAAATGCCTAAGGGTGGGTATTATAATACTGCTTTGACAGTTAACTTGAAGTTAACTTTTTGAATACACGTATTTTCAGAAGTTAACTTTAAGTTAACTCTCAAAGTAGTTTTATAATACCCGCCCTAAATCTAATGAACAATGTTTGTCGTTTGCACAGTGGAAGTTTTTTTTTTATTTGACAGATTGCGAATGGCCCAGGTGGCTGGCGCGGAAATACGCGCCATTTTGTTTACTTGCCAGAGATGTTATTTATTGCAAGGTTGTTTGATAAAGGCGAGAGAGGTAGGATGCCTGGGCTGGAACTCTGTAACGAATAGAGATATTTTCTCTCTATTGATTTCGAGAAGAGAGAAGAAGACAGCAAGTGCCATAGCGATAGGGATTACGATCTCTATACGTTACAGAGTCCCAGCCCTGGCAACTTTATGACGTCATCTGGGGTGCCTCAACATAATGCAAATCTCTATAAGGTATCCCAGATCAGAGACGTCATCAAGTTACCCATTACCCAAGAATCGTAAACTCTACAGGATTGCTCAATCCCATAAGACATACGTTCATAAAAATATCGAACATGGAGGAATGCAAGTGACGTCACGCAGTCCTTGATCGGTTTGTTTTTTATTATGACAGTGTGCATTCTCAAACGTGAAAAATTGTTATTTTTGAGTTTATTTTCTTTGAAAACTGTGTTTTTTAAATTTAACAGACTTCAAAAGTTTGTATGCTTGAGTCGTTAGCTAATTACGAAGACGAGTTTGTTTGTTCTCTGCTTATCAGCAGGGTAATTTCAAAATACTCACACTCACATAAATATTATATCAAAATGTGCATGCATTTTTTTTACCTTTTATTAGGGGCAACGGCAACAAGAAGCAAGAAGGTACATTTATAATAATAGATTATGCCTGGAATGAGATGTACTGTGTATGGGTGTTATAACAACTATTTTGATCAAAAAGCAAGCAGTCAAAAATGTAAATTTTATCGTTTTCTTAAAGGAAAAGATCTTGTATCTAAAACTATTTAAAACGAGTGGATAGTTTTTTGTAAAAGAAAGGACAAACTGAATGCAGATACATTTTTTATGGATATTCAAAGCTTATCTCACAAAGCCAAATAGTGATACCTAATTTATATTTTCATAATCAGAATCCAGAAAAACACTAAACACTGCAAGTTTTCCATAGTAAACGCGCCAGTAAAGAAATTTATTTACATATTTATTCATTTATTTACTCTTCACAAACACTAATTTCTACTAAGAGTAAGTAATTACATGCAAAGGAAACTTACAACTAAGGGTGGGTATTATAAAACTACTTTGAGAGTTAACTTAAAGTTAACTTCTGGAATTACATGCAATTCAAAAAGTTAACTTCAAGTTAACTGTCAAAGCAGTTTTATAATACCCGCCCTAAGTATTTATTTTATTTGATTTACAAAAAAAAAAACAATACAAATAATTACTTGATTAGGATATACTAGCAGTAGAAAACTAAGCAATACACACGAATTAAAGAAAGCTATGTCCTGATGCAACAAATCCAGTATTACAAAACCACTAAAACCAGAAAATGTTTGGGGTTTCCGCGATTATTTCCAGCCATGAGTCTTTTATGCTTACACACATCAAATGAAACTTTAAATTACACTTATAACATTTGATAAACTTCGAATTTACGATAAAATAATTCTCAGCGCAAACTCAACTATCATTTGTATCGGCGGCCATCTTGAAAGTCAGGTATGCACGTGACGTCACAGCACTTGTGAACAAATTTAGCCGATTGAGCAATCCTGTAAAGTTTACGATTCTTGCCCATTATGCCATACGACCTGAACCTTGATTTATTGAAAAATTTGCCTTCGGCGCCATTAGCCCCATTTTGTTCACCTATAAAAAAAATTTAAGGTGGCGGGGGGCAAGTAGAGTATGCCCTATGTCAAATTTATCATGCCCTATCTTAAATTTGACTCTAGCTACGGCCCTGCAACGATGAAGTGACATTTATTTTAAAATTACTCTTCAAATAAGCCCGGGAGAAAATAAAAACGATTTTACCATATTTCGGTTTTTTCCGAATATCTCCGGAAGTATTCGGAATCTTTCTAATTTCAAAACGGCATTCTATTGGTCATAAAATTGTGCAACTTGCCATAATTTATCCGACCCCGTATCTCTTACGGTTTCCAAGATCCCAATGATGAGGCTCGAATTTGGGCCACCCTGTACATGCTATTTCAAGTTTTGATAGTTTAATATTATTTTTTCAAGAAGCAGAAACTTTTAAAAGGAATCACTTTTTTTCGTAAAATTGATAATAAAAAAGTTTCCCATATGCTGCGAACTTAAGTGGACACACTATTAAAAAAGCAGTACAAAAATTGAAAATTAAACAAGTTAAATACAAACCATATGTATTTTTTTTTGCAGCAATCCAGCAATGCTAAATAGGCATAGTTCGATCAGATGTCACGTCGCGCTTCCAACCACCACCAACCCAGATATACTGAAAACAACCCCTACCATGTAAGACCATTAATTTCATAAAATTCTTCATCTATTAGTTTAACAATATTTTATCAGGTCACTACAATTGCCCGCCCTCAACTCTACCATCACCAGCAAAAAATCCATCACCAAAGAAAATCATTTACACACCAACCACAGACTACCGTAGACATCGGCGTCAGCGATGCCACCACTACAGACACCTACTATGATTACTGCGCAGCAGAAGATAGAAGTACTTTCCTACCTCTGCGCGAAAGCAGGAACACCGACGTCACTTTTTCCGATGATAGCGGCTCAACTAGACTGCCTTATTTCGAGTTCGACGAGGAATCTAATAAGGGCAGGAACTCGTTTTCGGACAGGAGCTTCCAGAGGCTCCAGAGGCACGGAATAAGGCAGGACGAGCTGGAAGAGGAACCTTTCGAAGATAGATTGTACCATGAAATTCAAACACCGTAAGAGTTTTTGATTCTCTCAAAAAATTTCAATTTACCCTTCTTTCCTTATTCCAGCTGTGATAATGGTCCTATACCAGTCCAAACCACAAATGGTAGAAGACCTGTGATATCAAGAACATCAGACCGACCGCAAAGCTCTATGAGTTCAGCTCTGACCAATGCCATGGTTTACGGTTGCGGTGGCAAATGCCAAACTTTCGAAAGCGTTTGCTATTTTCTATTGCAAGTAAGCTACTAAATCTATATGATATATGCAAATTGCAAAAACATAATTTATTTCCAGTTAATATTCACTATGGGTATTCTCATAGGCGTTTCTTTGTGCATCGCCGGTTTGGTCCTAAGAAGATCAGCAGCCAGAAATCTTCAAGTCCTAGTCTACATTGGCATTATGCTGGCAATGGTGAGCTCGCTTCTACTAACAATTCAGTGTAGAGCGAAAAACGTGGCGAAAAGACGAATCAAAGCAATCCAGTCAGCGAAAAGAGCACCAATTCAAATGGAGACTTTGAATATCCGTTCGAATCCAGTCCACTTGGATCGGTTGCCCAGCATAAGAGAAAACCAAAGACATTTGCCGCAAGTGCATAACTTGAGACCTTTGCCGCAAAGACCGAGGACGATGGCCATGGACGAAGAGCAAGGTGTACCTTGGTGGAGGCGTGGAAATGTAGTTTGAATTTTTGGATTGGATAAGAGGTATAAGACTGACACGTGTATAAAAATGTATATTAATTTATTTGCTACCTCGTGGATTGTTTTGAATAATTTGTGACAGTGAAATTAATGAGATTTTGTGAAATTTTAATTAATAAATTGAATTGTATTTATTTGGTTTTTTTTTATTTGCAACAAAGTCCTCCTTCACAAAGTTATAACTTCATGCCATTAGAGAAATAGCTATTTGTATATTAAGAGCGCAAAGTGGTACTTTGCCGACAATATCTTGAGATTGGCAAAGGCACTTTTCGCTCGTAATACACACATGATTTTTCCTACGCGGCAAAGTACTGAAAACGCTCGCTTGTAAATTTTTTATTCCCACTTTTTTTTTCCCCGACCTTTTTTTTTCACGACTTTATTTTTCGCGACAATTTCTTTTCCCGACCATTTTTTTTCACGACTATTTTTTCCCGACTATTTTTTTTTCCCGGCAATTATTTTTCCCGACTTTTTTTTTGCGACTTTTTCTTCTCTTTTTTTTTCTTGACTCTTTTTTCCCGGCCATTTTTTCTTCCCGGCCAATTTTTTTCCCGACCAACTTTTTTTTTCACGACCATTTTTTTTCCCGACCATTTTTTTTCTCGACCATTTTTTTTTCCCAATTTTTTTTTCCCGACAATTATTTTTTTCGACCATTTTTTTTTCTCAACTTTTTTTTTCGTGACTTATTTTTCACGACCATTTTTTTTCCGACCATTTTTTTTCTCGACCATTTTTTTTTTTCCCAATTTTTTTTTCCCGACAATTTTTTTTTCGACCATTTTTTTTTCCGGACTTTTTTTTCCCGACAATTTTTTTTCCCGACAATTTTTTTTCCCAACCTTTTTTTTTCCCGACTATTTTTTCCCGACTATTTTTTTTTCCCGGCAATTATTTTCCCCGACTTTTTTTTTTGCGAATTTTTCTTCTCTTTTTTTTTCTCAACTTTTTTTTTCTTGACTTACTTTTCCCGGCCATTTTTTCTTCCCGGCCAATTTTTTTCACGACCAACTTTTTTTTTTCGCGACCATTTTTTTTCCCGACCATTTTTTTTCTCGATCATTTTTTTTTCTCAATTTTTTTTTCCCGACAATTTTTTTTTCGACCTTTTTTTTTTCCCGACTTTTTTTTCCCGACAATTTTTTTTTCCCGACAATTTTTTTTTCCCGACAATTTTTTTTCCCGACTTTTTTTTTCCCGACTTTTTTTCCCGACGATTTTCATTTCCCGACCGACTTTTTTTTTCCCGACAATTTTTTTTCCCGACTTTTTTTTTTCACGACCGTTTTTTTTTCCCCGACCTTTTTTTTTCGAGCATTTTTTTTCCCGACTTTTTTTTTCCCAATCTTTTTTTCCCGACAATTTTTTTTTTCGGTCAATTTTTTTCCAGACTTTTTTTTTTCCCGACCATTTTTTTTCCCGACATTTTTTTTTCACGACTATTTTTACCCGACAATTTTTTTCCCGACTTTTTTTTTCCCGACTTTTTTTCCGACTTTTTTTTTCCCGACTTTTTTTTTCCCGACTTTTTTTTCCCGACTATTTTCATTTCCCGACCGACTTTTTTTTTCCCGACTTTTTTTTTCGTGACTTTTTTTTTCCCGACTTTATTTTTCCCGACTTTCTTTTTCCCGACTTTTTTTTTTCCTGCCTTTTTTTTCCACCATTTTTTTCTCGTCCATTTTTTTTTCCCCTTTTTTTTTTCCCGACAATTTTTTTTTCGACCATTTTTTTCCCTACTTTTTTTTTCCCGATTTTTTTTTCCCGACTTTTATTTTCGCGACAATTTTTTTTCCCCAAAATTTTTTTCCCGACTTTTTTTTTTCCCGACTATTTTCATTTCTCGACCGACTTTTTTTTTCCCGACAATTTTTTTTCCCGATTTTTTTTCCACGACCATTTTCTTCCCGACTTTTTTTCCGGACTATTTTTTTCCCGCCTTTTTTTTCCCGACTATTTTTTTTTAAAAAAAGGTGGAAAAAAAAAGTCGGGAAAAAAAAAGCTCGAAAAAAAAAAAGGTCGGGAAAAAAAATGGTCAAAAAAAAAAGGTCGGGAAAAAAATTGTAGGAAAAAAAAATTGTCGGGAAGAAAAAAGTCGGGAAAAAAAAATGGAGAAAAAAAGAATTGTCGGGAAAAAAAAATGGTCTGGAAAAAAAAAGTCGGGAAAAAAAAAGGTCGGGAAAAAAATTGTCGGGAAAAAAAAATTGTCGGGAAAAAAAAAGTCGAGAAAAAAAAGTCGAGAAAAAAAGAATTGTCGGGAAAAAAAAATGCTCCGGAAAAAAAAAGTCGGGAAAAAAATGGTCGAGAAAGAAAATTGTCGGGAAAAAAAAAGTCAGGAAAAAAAATGCTCGAAAGAAAAAAGGTCGGGAAAAAAAAATGGTCGTGAAAAAAAATTGTCGGGAAAAAAAGTCGGTCGGGAAATGAAAATAGTCGGGAAAAAAAAATGGAGAAAAAAAGAATTGTCGGGAAAAAAAAATGGTCTGGAAAAAAAAAGTCGGGACAAAAAAAGGTCGGGAAAAAAATTGTCGGGAAAAAAAAATTGTCGGGAAAAAAAAAGTCGAGAAAAAAAAGTCGAGAAAAAAAGAATTATCGGGAAAAAAAAAATGCTCCGGAAAAAAAAAAGTCGGGAAAAAAATGGTCGAAAAAGAAAATTGTCGGGAAAAAAAAAGTCAGGAAAAAAAATGCTCGAAAAAAAAAAATCGGGAAAAAAAAATGGTCGTGAAAAAAAATTGTCGGGAAAAAAAGTCGGTCGGGAAATGAAAATAGTCGGGAAAAAAAAAGTCGGGAAAAAAAAAAGTCGGGAAAAAAAATGTCGGGAAAAAAATTGTCAGGAAAAAAAAATTGTCGGGAAAAAAAAAGTCGAGAAAAAAAATGGTCGGGAAAAAAATGGTCGAGAAAGAAAATTGTCGGGAAAAAAAAATCAGGAAAAAAAATGCTCGAAAAAAAAAAGGTCGGGAAAAAAAAATGGTCGTGAAAAAAAATTGTCGGGAAAAAAAGTCGGTCGGAAAATGAAAATAGTCGGGAAAAAAAAAAGTCGGGAAAAAAAAAAGTCGGGAAAAAAAATGTCGGGAAAAAAATTGTCAGGAAAAAAAATGGTCGGGAAAAAAAAAGTCGAGAAAAAAAATGGTCGGGAAAAAAAATGGTCATGAAAAAAAAAAGTTGTCGAGAAAAAAAAATAGCCGGGGAAAATAAGTCAAGAAAAAAAAAGTCGAGAGAAAAAAAAAAGTCGAGAAAAAAAAATGAGAAAAAAAAAGAGAAGAAAGAGTCGCAAAAAAAAAATAGCCTGCAAAAATAATTGCCGGGAAAAAAAAATAGTCGGGAAAAAATAGTCGTGAAAAAAAATGGTCGGGAAAAGAAATTGTCGCGAAAAAAAGTCGGGAAAAAAAAGTCGGGAAAAAAAAGTCGGGAAAAAAAAGTCGGGAAAAAAAATAGTCGGAAAAAAATGGTCATGAAAAAAAAATGGTCGGGAAAAAAAAAGACGGGAAAAAAAATGGTCGGGAAAAAAGAATTGTCGGGAAAAAAGAAAGTCCGGAAAAAAAAGTCGGGAAAAAAATGGTCGGGAAAGAAAATCGCCGGGAAAAAAAAAGTCGGGAAAAAAAATGCTCGAAAAAAAAAGGTCGGGGAAAAAAGAATGGTCGTGAAAAAAAAAATTGAGAAAAAAAATTGTCGGGAAAAAAAGAGTCGGGAAAAAAAATTGTCGGGAAAAAAAAAGTCGGGAAAAAAATTGTCGGGAAAAAAAAATAGTCGGGAAAAAAAAAAGTCGGGAAAAAAATGGTCGAAAAAAAAAATGTCGGGAAAAAAAAATTGGGAAAAAAAATGGTCGAGAAAAAAAATGGTCGAGAAAAAAAATGGTCGTGAAAAAAAAAAGTTGGTCGGGAAAAAAATTGGCCGGGAAGAAAAAATGGCCGGGAAAAATAAGTCAAGAAAAAGAAAGTCGGGAAAAAAAAGTCGGGAAAAAAAAAGTCGGGAAAAATATGTCGGGATACAAAAAAAGTCGGGAAAAAAAAGTCGGGAAAAAAGATAGTCGGAAAAAAAATGGTCGGGAAAAAAAATGGTCGTGAAAAAAAAATTGGCTGGGAAGAAAAAATGGCCGGGAAAAATAAGTCAAGAAAAAAAAAGTCGGGAAAAAAAAAGTCGGGAAAAAAAAAGTCGGGAAAAAATTGTCGGGATACAAAAAAAATCGGGAAAAAAAAGTCGGGAAAAAAGATAGTCGGAAAAAAATTGGTCATGAAAAAAAAAAAATAGTCGGGAAAAAAATGGTCGGGAAAGAAAATTGTCGGGAAAAAAAAAGTCGGGAAAAAAAATGCTCGAAAAAAAAAGGTCGGGGAAAAAAGAATGGTCGTGAACAAAAAAGTCGGGAAAAAAAATTGTCGGGAAAAAAAAAGTCGGGAAAAAAATTGTCGGGAAAAAAAAATGGTCGGGAAAAAAAAAGTCGGGAAAAAAAATGGTCGAAAAAAAAAGAAGTCGGGAAAAAAAAAATTGGGAAAAAAAAATGGTCGAGAAAAAAAATTGTCGGGAAAAAAATGGTCGTGAAAAAAAAAAGGTTGGTCGGGAAATGAAAATGGTCGGGAAAAAAAAAGTCGGGAAAAAAATGGTCGAAAAAAAAATGGTCGTGAAAAAAATTGGCTGGGAAGAAAAAATTGTCGGGAAAAAAAAGTCGGGAAAAAAAATTGTCGGGAAAAAAAAAGTCGGTCGGTTGTTATTTGTACTACCTATACAATAATTTTTAATTTTTCGTAGGAGATTTTTGAGGGCTCGATATTAAAGCCAATAGTAACGAATTCTAAAACTTTCCACTAAAAAAAATGTGGAACGCTTCACGATTTTGCGTGTCATCCTTGCGCAGGGGCCATGCTAATCTTCTCTGTATCGTTCCAATTTTAGTATATGTACCGCCGAAGCGAGTACATTTATTTAGGTTTGAAACTCCTATTTGAACTGAACTTCAATATCCTAATAGCGGTTAAATGTTCAGCAAATTTTGACCATCAGCGCCCTCTAGTGGCCGGGAAAAATAAGTCAAGAAAAAGAAAGTCGGGAAAAAAAAGTCGGGAAAAAAAAAGTCGGGAAAAATATGTCGGGATACAAAAAAAGTCGGGAAAAAAAAGTCGGGAAAAAAGATAGTCGGAAAAAAAATGGTCGGGAAAAAAAATGGTCGTGAAAAAAAAATTGGCTGGGAAGAAAAAATGGCCGGGAAAAATAAGTCAAGAAAAAAAAAGTCGGGAAAAAAAAAGTCGGGAAAAAAAAAGTCGGGAAAAAATTGTCGGGATACAAAAAAAATCGGGAAAAAAAAGTCGGGAAAAAAGATAGTCGGAAAAAAATTGGTCATGAAAAAAAAAAAATAGTCGGGAAAAAAATGGTCGGGAAAGAAAATTGTCGGGAAAAAAAAAGTCGGGAAAAAAAATGCTCGAAAAAAAAAGGTCGGGGAAAAAAGAATGGTCGTGAACAAAAAAGTCGGGAAAAAAAATTGTCGGGAAAAAAAAAGTCGGGAAAAAAATTGTCGGGAAAAAAAAATAGTCGGGAAAAAAAAAGTCGGGAAAAAAAATGGTCGAAAAAAAAAGAAGTCGGGAAAAAAAAAATTGGGAAAAAAAAATGGTCGAGAAAAAAAATTGTCGGGAAAAAAATGGTCGTGAAAAAAAAAAGGTTGGTCGGGAAATGAAAATGGTCGGGAAAAAAAAAGTCGGGAAAAAAATGGTCGAAAAAAAAATGGTCGTGAAAAAAATTGGCTGGGAAGAAAAAATGGCCGGGAAAAAAAAAGTCGGGAAAAAAATGTTCGGGAAAGAAAATTGTCGGGAAAAAAAAGTCGGGAAAAAAAATTGTCGGGAAAAAAAAAGTCGGTCGGTTGTTATTTGTACTACCTATACAATAATTTTTAATTTTTCGTAGGAGATTTTTGAGGGCTCGATATTAAAGCCAATAGTAACGAATTCTAAAACTTTCCACTAAAAAAAATGTGGAACGCTTCACGATTTTGCGTGTCATCCTTGCGCAGGGGCCATGCTAATCTTCTCTGTATCGTTCCAATTTTAGTATATGTACCGCCGAAGCGAGTACATTTATTTAGGTTTGAAACTCCTATTTGAACTGAACTTCAATATCCTAATAGCGGTTAAATGTTCAGCAAATTTTGACCATCAGCGCCCTCTAGTGGCTTTTCGCTAATTAACAGTGAAATTCAATACCCGTTTCAGGTTTCTTTATATAGATGGCGATGTTGCTTAAACACCATTTATAGCTCTGACCTTTTTGCTTTTATCATCCACAGAGGATCAGAAATATGTCCTTTCAAAGGTATAAAAAAGGAAAAAAAAAAAAACAACAAACAAATCACATTAATATATATTTTATTAGACTTTGCAGTAGTAAATTGTCAAAGATAACAAAAACGAACTCGAAAATCACAAAAAAAAAAATAATCAAAAATTCTGTAAGAAAATCAAAAATTAACTGTAAAATCCCTACACAGTAGGATATTAATAATCGGACAAATAATTATTTCGAGTATTAGAAAACTGGATTGGGACTCTGTAACGAATAGAGATATTTTCTCTATCTCTATTGATGTCTTATCTCTATTGATTTTGAAAAGAGAGAAGAAGACACCAGAATCCCAGCCCTGAAACACAGTCTAAATAGGGTACCTTGCTACATCCTACTACACACATCGATAAATATTTGAATTTTTTTTTTAACAGAATAGAATTTTCTTACTACATTATTATATAGAAAAGGCCTTTAGTTAGTGTTTTTTTTTTGTTCGTCCGAAATCATATTTTGCACCCTAAAATTACATTGATTAAAGCAAAACGTATTTACACGTAATTTTTTTTAGTAATTAAATATTAATAAACCCTTAAGTAAAAAATAAATCTCTAATCTAGTAATACAGTATTGCAAAAAAGAAAATTGTACAAAAGAAAAATTACTAATTACATTTCACCTATGTAGAGCAAAAAGAGGCCAAGCGGCAATTGAACCATTTTTGAGATAACTGCCATAACATCTTCAATACAATGATACAGCTTACGTTGTGTAAAAAATGACAAGCGGCACATACATATAAACTCATATAGACAGGAAATGTTTGCAAACTTGCAGTTTTACACATGACCCCTTCTTGCTCTACACGGGCAATTTATAATGTGAGATACTAAGAACTTAATAAACCTAATAAATACTTTTATTTTTCGCTTTGTTATGTACACACTTAGTTATTTCTCAAAAATCATTTTTTTTTTGGGGAATGTTACTTTGGTATAAAATAAGGTATTGGTAATGATAGTGTCTCTCAAAAAAATAATGTACAAAATAATAAGAGTATGTTAAACCCTTTTTTGAAAATAAATACTTAATTCTAAAAAGAAAAATAAACTCATATCACAAAAAAAAAATATAAATGTTTTATAATTAAGCCTAGAAGGGCCAAATTATGAACCTACTAATAAGTGTCAGGTTGTTACCTAGTAGGTGCTTTCTATTTCCTAGAGCATAGAAAACTGCTAGGTAATAACCTGACACTTATCAGTAGGTCCATAATTTAGCCCTAAACCTAACAGTTGTTAGAGTTTTAGGTGATGTAAATTTAGCAGTAGAAGAAAAAAACATATTATTACGGTGCAAAGTTATGTGTAAATCAGTATACACATTACCTAAATCTATTCATGTATTGGATAATTTGAGAAAAGTGATGCGGTAACTAGAAAATAAATGTCAGAAAGCAAAACAAAAAAAAATCATAGGAATTCCTAAAGTCAACGTTTTAATAATACATAGTTTGTGGTCAACACAAAACGTAGACCAAGATTCCAAAAAACCAACTTTTAATTCACAAAATAAAGGCACCATCAGCGTTAGCTCCCGCGAAAGGAATCTTGGTCTCGATAATATCCAATAAATAATTTGCTTAGTCCTTAAGCAGTTCCCGGAGTCGCATTATTTCCTTGTGCGCCTGCGTTAGTTCGCCTTGTAGGACCAGTTCCTTTTCTCGTAGCCTTTTAATGTCTCTCTGACAGTTCTGGAACAAAAATGAATGGATATTATTAACATTTTCTATTATCATAGTTGTTGGAGAATGCAACTATAACTATTAGGAACCGTAGTGCTATTGTACAGTATGACAATAATATTCTTGGAACATTCAGCACAAATCTTCAGAGAATAGATGATGAGAAATACAAAATTCCTCTGTTCAATGGAAATAACTACGACAACTGGAAATACAGGTTGTTGAATGTTTTATTATATGAGAAAGATTTACTCAGTTTTGTTGAGGAAAAATATACAGACAAAATAAAGTTTGTTTATAAAAATCTATAATATTGTTGAGGGGAATTTCAATGAGGATATAAGATGTACAGGTGTTTCCTAATATTTTGACCCTACCTACAGCTTTAGCAATACGAGGTGGAAAAATAATTTAAATATGAAAGTTGTACGGTTTTATCGGTAGTATATTTTGACGTTTTTGATTGCCTCTGGACAAATTGAATTAGTTGATCAAGAGCCTGTGAAAATCAAAATTTAAACTTTCCTCCGCTCTAAATCCCTTGGAAAACTTCTACAGGAACTTCAAGAGCCGAGAATGAATAAAATTTTGATGATTATCGGCACTTGAATCACTGATACATTTTTCCAGAGGGAATCAAAAGTGGCTGATTCCAAATTTTGATTGTTACACCAATATTATTGGCTTGAAGTCTTAATTTTCATTAGGTAAAAGCGAAGAGGATTTCACTGAGGATATTTGGTGTACATGGCTAAGGAGATAACCAGGGATAACCGAAGCATAATTGAGGATAACCAAATGATAACCAGGGGATAACTGGAAAAAAGCAAACATACTAAACTTCGAAGATTACATTTGGCAACATTGGACAGGTATTTGGTGGTTATTAGACAAATATATTAACAGTAAAAGAAGACTATATTAGAGCAGGTAATTAAAGAATAACCAGGGATAACAACGGATATCCGAAAAATAACCAGAGATAACTGGGGATGCCTAGGGATAACTGGGAATAACCAGGTATGACTAGAGATAACTGGGGATAAATTTCAAGTAGGAAGTAAGTTTGGTGTACGCAATTTTGCAATCGAAACCCCCCTTGAGTATTGTAGAAACTGTACCAACCATTCTTCCTCCATGTCCCACCACTAAAGATTCTTGTGATCTAAATAACAATTTGCTTCCACTTGGTCGTATTTCTTTATTGATATAAATTAATTCTTTTTGTCCAAAATATCTTTAATAAGACACTTTTTTTGTGTAGACTTAATGTGATACTGCTTCATACCACAGTAAATACGGAAGACCTGCATCAATGAGTGATGTTCTGACCATAGTAGTGATAGTTCTGTTTGGTCTTTCTGCCATTCTTTGTTTCGTATCGGATCTTACAGCTTTATGAACTCACTTGAAGAAATTTTTCAGGGAATTTAACACATTTGTCACCATATTGTCACTTTTGAAGTTACCAAGCTTCATCCGCTGAACATTTTCTCGGATGCGGCCTTCTACCTCACTTTTATGTTTTATAAAAAGTACCTCTGAATATCAATATAAACGTTAAATGGTACAAGTACCTACTCATCTCAATGAACTTTCTCCAATATTCTTTCCCAGGCGTTACCTTCTTTTCTGGAAATAGTTCTCATCATCTTGGATTTTATGCACTCTTCACAGTCTATGATAGAATATGTGTTTCAACTGACTTCTCAATTTTGTTGATGAGACTACTGGTGCATGTCCCAATTTTCTCAGTCAACAACTCTTACGTTTAAATTTTCGTTTTCTTGTGTAGCCATCCCATAGTCCTTATCTTCTTAGAAAATTTGTAATTTTCCAGATGGTAGTAGGTACCCACCCCACCCTACTACTTTATCATCCCTTGTTAAAAATAATTTCACCTTTATCTCCTTGTATTTTTATTCCTTTTTCTCTCATTTTTTTTGTCATAACATTTCAAATCTGGCACATACAAAAGGTAATTTTGATATATGTACTTTCTTAATGGCAGTAAAGCATTGTGACTTACTTCTCCAATATGACATCATCGTTTCTCCGAATTTGACTTGAATAAAACAGCTTTGTATCCTGACATGTGGGAAGTTGCACCGCCAGTGTCAAAAATATCCATTGATTTACGTTTTTCCCTGTAAATGTAGGAAAAGCAGTCTTTTTCATTGTTAAAAGTTGAGTATAATAATTTTAACGAAAAGTTTAGCATGTCATGATTGTAGAAGCTTGGGGTATGTATATCCTATTCACAATCTGGAGTCTAAAAGTACAGGAAAATGTATCACCTTTCCCTATCAAATAGCATTGAAAGATGATAAATTTTACCTGTAATTTTGGACTACAGATTGTGAATAGATAATATACATATATGTTTGTATGACATATGTTACTTGAATCTAATAAAAGTTAGTCTATACATTGAGAAGCCCATTCTACTGTCTCTACTGTGCTAGTAATTATATTAATAATATGATGATTCATTTGTATCAATTTATGTCTATTCCAAGCTCTTAAATATGCAGTTATATCACCAGAATTATAATTTGGAGAAAAGCCTAGACTAGAAAAACTGAGTTTTAATCATGAGTGTAGTGTCTATCATCGTGAAGTCAGATCTGATGATGGTTTGTTCAAAATTTTAAACCCAAATCAGAATTTCACAGAGAACATTTTTGACAAGTACCATCTAAAGCCGCATACAGACCGAACTTTCAACGCTAGCCAACGGCACATGTGAACTATGTTGGGACGCGTTGGCTTTGGTGTATATTCGGTCTGTGTACGCGGCTTTAAATGACGTAATCCTCCTCAAAATCAACATTTCGTTACATTCTTGCGGTAAAAGCAGCTAAAATTTGATTTGAACGATCTCTGGATTAGAATTTGAACTACACTCAATAGAAGTTACATTGATAAAATTTTATACGAAGCTTTTTGAGTGAATTTGAACCATTTGAGCTCGATTATTACAAGCCTCATTGAGACTTAAGTTGAGAACACATTAACGTGTTGTGTTCATACAGCTTATTTCGAGTGTACTTACATGAACAGCGTGCACAACAATTATGTTATTTGTCCAATAGTAGGCGGTAAAGCCAATGAAGTAGTAAGATGGTTGGAATAGCCTTATGCCTATCTATTCAATACATATATTTGCGGCCAACATTAGAGTGAGAGAACAGGAGAGATCTGTGAGATTTTCCTGCCCTTTACTAGCGCTATCTCATTCTGGAATCAATTGAATGTCGCAAAGCCAATTCCAAACCTTCTGTCTACTTTATTGGATGAAACCGATGAAGCTATTGCTGCGTTTAAAAATCTGTTTTTCTTATATATGCATTGAAAACCTGTTCATATACTGTACTTGCCGCGAACTACCACAAGGCGGCCTTGCGATTTATCAGTAAAGTATTGATGTGTGTGGGCTTATAGTCTATTCAGGGGTTCTTTAGGAAAAAAGTAGTGGTAGAGGGTTCAGGTATCAATATCAGGCAAGCTGAATCACAGGTAGAGGATTCAGATATCAATATCATGCACGTGAATCCCAGGTAGAGGGTTCACGTCAGTGACATAGATTATCAGCATTATCAGTCTTCTCGATTAGTTTGCCTCAGTATCAGTCTCAGAGTATCAGTAAAGGGCCCCGTACTTGTTCCGCGACAGGCCTTGCTACATGTATCTGAGATTTGTATCCATGTTTCAACTGCTCCTACAGTCCGTCGATTTTAATCTGATACCCCAAATGAATGTGAAAGCTAATGGTCACCTGACATGACAACTGTTTTTGCCATATGCTTCACCCCCTTGCTCCTCATACGGAAAGTGTCAGATTAAAAACGACAGACAATACATGTTGATGAGCTCAGAAAACATCGGTTCAGTAACAAGTTCTGTTCAATCAACGTGGATATAATTTATGTAAATTCAAAAATTCCTCCCAAAAGTCACGATTTTCCATGTTGGAAATAACACTGTTTATATTTTAGTAGCGTGATACATAGGTTTTGTTCCAACACGTCAAGAAACCGTACAAAAGTACTTACCGTCACGATTCTGCGCAGAGCCAAAAATGTGTGCGTAGAACCCGAAATTCATTTACAGAGTGTTTTCGAAACCGTTTATGGGACAGTTTTTGACGTGTTGGAACAAACCTATAATGCACGTTGAAACAAGTATCAGTTGCATGCGTTCGGTATCGAAGTTTCAGTACATTGATACAGACCTACAATACTCTAGAAACAGGACAAAACGAACAGGCGTTTTGCTCCAATATTGAAGGACATTATAAACACCACATTGCTCCCCGTAGTAAAATAGATTCATCGTATTTCAAAGAAAAACGCTGTCAGTTCTTTAACAAACATTTTTTCCTTGCATTTTAGTGTATCGCATGTTAGACAGGCCTATAGTTGGTCTACGTTGATCACCCTTTTTGAATAGCTAAGTCTATCGATTTTTTCCATTGTGAGCTAGGTTCGGCTATTCAGCGCGGAGTTGGAGTGGAGTGAACAGAGCTAATGGAGTCACCCCTAATACGGTAAAAAGCAATACTCGAACCTTAACCCGAATGGCTGGAGTGCGAATGGAGTCACTCGGAGTGAGCAAGCCGAACCCACCTGTGATAATTTTTGGACTCTGCCAATACCATGGGCGCCGAAACCAATAGGGGTAATGGGGGCAATGGGGGCAATGGGAGCTTGAGTCCCTGTAACGCAATTGCTATGGGGGCTTCGCCCCCATAGTGATTTTAGCATTGTATGTAGTGAGTAGGTACAAAAATATTGAGTTCCTGATCCTAACATTCCTAGCTATTTATTTTTATATGAAACTTGTGTGTTTTATGTTTTTGTTGCTTTTGCTATACTGACTTTGACAAACAGTTTGATACTTTTTTTGTTTAGTATAGTATAGTAAATTTTAGGGCCCTTAATATAAAAAGCTTAGATTTAGATGACAAATATCCATTACCCAACATAACAGATCTCTTGAACAAGCTGACACGCTGCCAGTACCTTTGGTGTTGAAATACTAGCGGCTTCCACCAGTTCCAGATGCATGAAAACGACATCGAAAAACCGCATTCAGTACAGAAAACTGGCACTATGAATTCTTGCGCATGCCCTTTGGTTTCAAGAACGCGCCGGCTACATTTCAAAGAGTTCTGGATGATATTCTATATCCCAATATATTGAGCAATAACAATGAAAAAAAATATATTAGATTTTAGAGCAAGATGTGGTTTGCCTCCCGTCGCAAAGTCAATTTGATAAAACTAAAGTTTTTGAATATTCCCGGCTCTTTGATTGAACACGCATTTTGAATATTTGCGGTTTTCGATTGGCTCCAAATTATCCGCTGACCAATAGAATTATAGACTGAGCTCCTTGATTAAAATAACTCCGGCCTTTCGGGCTCGCGTATAATTTCGGCGTTTTTTTATTTTCGCAAATTTACAAATTTGCCCCTTCCTCTCCCCAAGACAAGATCCTGACTACGACAATAGTGCTGTCGAAGCCGAGTATAGCTGAGCTGCCGAAGATTCACGAATTTCAATAATATGAAGAAACCTGCAGTGATGATCAACGATCCAGCGTGAAATGGGTATCTGTCAACTGGTCCCATTTAAGTCTATGTGTCTATTAATTCTACTTATGTTAATTTTTGGATCCCAAGCCCCCATGGCAATGTTAAAATTCCGGCGCCTATGGCCAATACCCTCCCATTCATCAATTTTATTCACTACTGAACTGACGCTGCTGTACCAAAAACGAGATTGCAACTACCTCCACCAAGTTGAAAATTGCATTCAGTAGCCAGAAGGTTTAAAGGATTGTAGATATTGATCTATAGATTCGGGAGCTTGCCACCCTACCATTGCGAATTAAATCGGATTCAACTAATATGGGCTCAAGTAAAGGGATTTATAGCAATAAATAACACCACCTTCAAATTACAAGATATTATGAAAATTATTGTTAAGAATGTCGTTATATCACATGACTGCAGAAAACCGAAAAAAAAAAAATTTAATAAAAGAAGAACCAAGACATGTGGAACATTGACAACCTTTTGGAAAAGACTGTAGAACCAATAATTAATTAAAATTTTCTATTTGTATTCCACTAAAGTCATCTTCTTGTACATTTTCATTATTGTAATATGCATATTCTTTATTTGTGAAAGGTGTACTTAAACATAGTTTACTTACCACATTCTGTCTTAACAAATCCAACTTATCGCACTTTAACCTGGTAACCTCTTGCGACAAAACTTCCTGCTGCGACCCATTTTGTCCGCCAGGAGTGCTACTTCCGGGCCTTTCTTGACAATTACAAGCTTTGGCTGCGGTTTCCGCCGAAGACATTGATTCCAGGCCAGTATCACTATCAACATACCTATAGAATGAGCTATTTTAGTAACATGATTATAGCTTTGTTCCAACACAAAAATCCATACAATGTATTATCATGAAATTCGTATACAAAATGGTTGTTGGAACATACCTTATAGGAAAGTGAAACTTACCCTCCAGCCAGATGCTCCAGATCTTCTGAGGTCAATGAAGAGTCGTCGCTGGCTTCACTTAAAGCTGGCCGAGCGCTGGAAGGAGCATGAGCTGTCAAATCTGGAGATGAAGCTGTTGAAGACCGTCCACTGCCCGTACTACCTGAACCACCTGACTTTTTGGAATTTGATATTATTGAAGACTTCGAAATTGATCTTCCACTCTAAAAAATTCTTGGTAAGTAAGTGATGATTTTTATCGAGATTGTATTTACCGAAGGTGTCGATTCTGAAATCGGTGGTTGACTGGATTTCTTGCTCAGTTTGTCGTGGTGATGATGGTGATGACTGGCCGGGCCCAAGTTGTTGTCGCTCTGGCTCGTTTTCACTTTGGCCGCAGTCCAAGCTTTCTTTACGGTGTCGATGAATCGGGCGCCGGGTCCCGAGTCGCCCTTAGGTGTACCGGGTACTTGCGGAGTACTCGGACCTCCAAGAAATTCAGCTGTTTTCTCCTGAAAAAATTGAAATTGTGATATTGAGGAAAAATACATTGTGAGATGTTTGAATTTTCATCATTGGACTTTAACAATGATGATAAAACTTTGAAACTTTTTGAGTGTATAGAAAAAGGATAGGAGTATGTATCTTATACTAAAACTTACACTGAAATATTTTCCAACAACTTACCTTTAAATCATCAGTAAGACTTTGCAACAACGACGTCCTAGTTCGCAATTCGAGCTTGGCAAACTTCTCTGCTTTGTAGCAGGCTTTTTCCGCGTTGACCAGCTTGGTCAGCAGGAACTCCTTGAACTCTGGACCATGCTTGAAAATCGCCGGCGTCGGTAAAGTCGGTCCAAAAAACGGCACGTCGTCTCGTGCCGTTACACTCACTTTGTACCTGAAAAAAAATTACAATTTTTGAAATGCAAATTTGCCTCCTATGTGATGTGGAGTAAAATTTAAATATCAAAGAAACTAGGTACTTGCTTTTTGGCTTGGTGAATAGATTTTCAAATGGAAAAAAAGTTCTTTTCAATTATGCAAAGTTTAACATTTTAGCGGAAAATGAATGAAAAATTCTTACCTAGTGTTTGAAGTATTCGGATCCAAAACTTGTACAACGATAAATGCATGCAGGAAATGCGAGGCTATCATGTCAGGACAAAAAGGAGTGTTTTCCTCTTGAAACACTATGCCCACGATATCGTTACCGATGTGCCTTTTCCTTTGCAATTGCTGCGGATCGTTGTCTGTATAGGGTAGCAGTGTCGACACGTGAAACATTATTTCTCTATCTTTGAAGACCTGAAAACACATCATAGTATATTATGTATTTAAAAATAGAAATAAAAATTACTTCGTAAACAGCTGTGTCTCCTGTATGTCCGTTTTGTATATCGAGTCCTCCTCGATATCCTTTGTGGTCTTTCAGCTGTATCCTTTGGCCAAGTAAATCTAAAAAGTCACTAAAAGCAGGGCTAGTGACATTGTTGCAAAACAATTCTTCCTCGGTTGTTTGGCCGAATTGCTGATACAATACTCCAAACTTGAAGGTTGTTACTAGAACGTGCTCATCGTAAGTTGCTATGAGTTGAGATGTTTTTGGGTGTAATACCTGGAAAAATATTAGATTAGAAAGTTTTATGGTTTGATTTGAGTTAATAAATAGTGGGGATACGACAGCCAGTGTTTATTCTCTTCTTAAACTTCAATATCTTGAAATCTGTTATATTATGTTGAAAAATATTTGAGCTATCAATTTAGCACAGATTTATAGAGAATTTCAATAAGTATGTAATAATGCTTTACTATTCAACTCTACCTTTACCAGTTATATGGTAAAGGTAAAAGGTACAAAAAATACCGGATATTGAAGACCTAACAGTCGTCTCTAGTAAATCTTCATTATACATTCATTTTCTGAACTGGCTCAATTTAGCGCGCGAGAAATTTGAAATTCAACGTTTCGTTCCTCTGGAATCATCATCAATTCATTTATTTTTTTAAATGCGGACCTGCTTTTTTTACTGTATTATTGAAAAATCATAAACAGTATCGGTTTTAGGATGCCCAAAGATGACAAAATCGCAAATAAAAAATCCAGTTCCGTACTTAAAACAAGGAAGTTGAGGATGGCCGCTTGAAGACGAAACGTCATATTTTAAATTTAATAACACCATCTTCTAAAGGTGAAAAAGTGACAATGATGAATTGACATTTATTTTAAAATTGCTTTTCAAATGAGCCCGGAAAAAAATAAGAACGATTTTACAAAATTTCGGTTTTCTCCGAATATCTCCGGAAGTATTCGGAATCTTTCTAGTTTCAGAACGGCATTCTATTGGTCATAAAATTACGCAACTTTGCCATAATTTGACCGACCCCGTATCTCTTACGGTTACCGAGATCCCAATGATGAGGCTCGAATTTGGGCCACCCTGTACAGGCTGTTTTTTTATATGTATATTGACACCCCACCTACAGCCTTTACCTTTACAGGTAGATGAAAGGTGTAACTACAAAAGTTGTACAGTATTGGCTAAATTTTTAGAATCCATGGTCAGAAACGAAAATTGAATGCCAGAAATGTGGAATATTGCATGCTTTCAGCTTTTTCCAAATGGGATATGCTATATTTGGTTATATATTCTTGAAGAGCACAACTTCCCGATTCCAAAACTATATAGTTTGTCTATATTTGGTTGAGCCGTCTTCAACATATTTGGTTCTAAAAATTTTAAAAATACTATCAGAGAAACCAAGTACCCAATACCTCAAATTTTACCTGCAGCTTTCACCTGTACAGGTAGATTGGTTCATAACTCGTTCATAAAATCAATAGTAGGATAGTGTTCCCTGTGTTTTTATTCTCATCAAATTTTACTGGTGGATCCACCATTCTTATGGCCGTCATTGTCATTTTTCACTCACTAAACAAAGATAGCTAACTCATCGGTGAAGTCACCGATGAGAATAAAAAAGAGGGGATTTTTACAATTTTTAGAGCCGAATATATGAGGGACTGTTCAATCAAATATAGACAAACTATATATTTTTGGAATCGGAGCATTGTGCTCTTCAAGAATATAGAATGAAATATAGGGCCTCCTATTTGAAAAAAGCTGAAAGCATGCACTATTTCACATTTTTGACATTATTCAAATTTTGTTTCTGATCATGGTTTCTAAAAATTCTGCCAAAACTGTACAACTTTTGTATTTACAGCTTTCTTCTACCTGTGAAGGTAAAGGCTGTAGGTGAGGTGTCAATATATAAAAAAACATCCTGTACAAATAAGTAGATTATTGCGGAACTTATGGGTGGACCTCTGCGGGACGAGCGCAGCGAGTTCCGCAGCCATCTACTCACCAATATACCGTTGAACTGTTCAAATAAGACATTCACTTGAAACGTGTAGTTTTTGAACTAATGTAAATAACTGACATTTGAGTAAGTCAGGTTAGAATTGTACTTGAACAACATATTGGTGAATAGATGGCTGCGGAACTCGCTGCGCTCGTCCCGCAGAGGTCCACCCATAAGTTCCGCAACAATTCACTAAATGTACCCATTAAAAACAAACTAGGTAAAAGTGCGAAAAATCAAGATGGCTGACCATAACCAAATTTGGGGATGTTCCACCAATCACAGCAATGTGGACTCTCAGTATGTTCATAGGGAACCTAAAAGCTATCGAATAATGGTGGTGGCAGCTTTAAGCTAATTTGTTTACCCCTGACCCCTAATTGCCCTGGACTAATAGTATAGGTATTAGATATAGTCAAAATCCATGCTCAGAAGATCCACATTTGAATTAGGGGCGCCAAAGACAGATCTCGCTCCATTCTAAAAATAGGCTTGGGCCGGCACTGTAGATGGTCCACCCATAAGTTCCGCAACAATCCACTTATTTGCACTTGAACAATAACTTATTACATAAAGTCAGAATTTGTAAGATTATCTACTTTTTGTCAATTTGCCTTTTAACAGGAATTAGTAATGTTACTTTATCAAACTAGTAACATGATGTGATAAGTTATTCAAGTACAAATTAGTGAATTGTTGCGGAACTTATGGATGGACCTCTGCGGGACGAGCGCAGCGAGTTCCGCAGCCATCTATTCACCAATATGTTGTTCAAGTACAATTCTAACCTGACTTACTCAAATGTCAGTTATTTACATTAGTTCAAAAACTACACGTTTCAAGTGAGTGTCTTATTTGAACAGTTCAACAGTATATTGATGAGTAGATGGCTGCGGAACTCGCTGCGCTCGTCCCGCAGAGGTCCACCCTTAAGTTCCGCAACAATCCACTTATTTGTACTTGAACAATACTTAACTTATTATATAAGGTCAGAATTTGTAAGATTATCCACTTTTTGTCAATTTGCCTTTCAACAGGAATTAGTAATGTTACTTTATATCAAACTAGTAACATGATGTGATAAGTTATTCAAGTACAAATTAGTGAATTGTTGCAGAACTTATGGGTGGACCTCTGCGGGACGAGCGCAGCGAGTTCCGCAGCCATCTATTCACCAATATGTTGTTCAAGTACAATTCTAACCTGACTTACTCAAATGTCAGTTATTTACATTAGTTGAAAAACTACACGTTTCAAGTGATTGTCTTATTTGAACAGTTCAACAGTATATTGGTGAGTAGATGGCTGCGGAACTCGCTGCGCTCGTCCCGCAGAGGTCCACCCATAAGTTCCGCAACAATCCACTTATTTGTACTTGAACAATACTTAACTTATTATATAAGGTCAGAATTTGTAAGATTATCCACTTTTTGTCAATTTGCCTTTTAACAGGAATTAGTAATGTTACTTTATCAAACTAGTAACATGATGTGATAAGTTATTCAAATACAAATTAGTGAATTAGTGGTGCCGCGAGACGAGACTAGACGAGACTTAGGGTTGGTCTCGTCTCGTCTCGACATTTCGAGACGAGACCGTGATTTAGTCTCGGAATCGAGTAACAAAGTCTCGTCTCGTCTCGAGTGGTCTCGTCTGGTCTCGAGTTATACAGGGTGTCAAAAAATAGCGTAAAAACTCTTCTCTCCGCGGTGGATGACCCTACAAGGAACCCCAGAAAAATACTTTAAAAAATCTAGTGGCATTCTTAGGAAAGTTATTTGCATCTTAATATTTATTAAAATTGGCAACACTGAAAATATCCCGTTGACATGTCAGAGAATTAAATTGAATACCCATGTAACTACCTGACGAATTCGAAGGTGAATTTTCACATTTACCTCTCCATATTACCAAGAATAATGCTGGTGAAGGATTTTTTAAATTTATTTATTTTTCTAGGGTTTCTCAAAGGGTCCTCTACTACGTGGAGAGTTTTTACGCTAATATTTGGACACCCTGTATTTATGGTTTTTGTTTTTATATTATAACGGAAGTCCAAACTGCCACAGTGAAAAAGCAATTAGTGAAAAATCACAGTGAAGAGTAACCCTGATATTTAATTTACTGATTTCATATTCAAATAGCCCAGATTAATCCAATAATAAAGCTATGAAAGAAAAATTTTGGGTGTAATCTCGAGACTCGAGACCACACGAGACTCTCGCCGAGTCTGGTCTCGTCTCGTCGAGACTTCACGAGAAGAGACCAAAAGCCAGTCTCGTCTCGAAAAGTCGAGACGAGACGAGACGAGACGAGACCAGTCTCGAGTCTCGCGACAACAATAGGTACATTCAGGCGCTGTCAAGTAGTACTCAGACCTATTTTATATCCAGTTCTTTTGAATTTTTTTCAAATTCCCAATACATTTGGTTTATTCAAGCTCAGCCACTCAGCAGGGACTTTATTCTCGAAACCGTTGTCATGAAAACGATTGCTCTGTAATTGTCAGTGTTATGGAAATATGCATACGGACGATGAAGACAGAACCTTCGTTCTCATGAGAACGCTGCTCCCTTGTTTCGAGAATAAAGTGCCTGCTGAGTGGCTGAAATTAGCCGCTGGCACCGCCTGAATGTACGAATGTACCCAATGTTTTGGGAACAAATAGGAATTTGAAAAAAGTTCAAAAGAACTGGATATAAAATAGGTCTGAGCCCACAAACCACTGTAGAATTTGAACCATAATGAACTTTTTATATTGCTCAAAAATCTCTGCAAAGATGGATGGTATTTACCTACTCAGTTTTCTAAAAGACATAGGTAAATACCAAGGTTCCTGAAGTTAATAGGTTGTCTAATAATGGATAACTTGATGACGCATCTGGGGTGCCTTATGGAGATTTGCATTTTATATTGAGGCACCCCAGATGACGTTATAGAGTTATTAGGTAACCTACCTCTCTCAAACAACCTTGGGTGAATAAATGAAATATTAACAAAAATAGATAGCCGAAATGGCATAGGTAAGTGTAGTATTTTCAATATTTGAAGCAGTTATATTATACATTTCTATGTTGTTATTATATACATAATTATGCTTCTCAATGTTAAATATAAGTGTACGCCTCTACTGCACTAGAAAAGTACCATCATATCAAGGTTTCGCCCACATGATTGCACCGTCAGCGATATTTTATTATAAGTACGGCGCGCAGAGCCTTCTCTCCTCATTCTATTATTTTTAGCTTAGACTACAGTAATTAGAATCAAGATTCTTTTGTTATCAGCTTTCCGCCGCATGGAATTAGAGTCTAATATATTTTGTTGTAATTTCTTAGTTTTAATAAAATAAATAGTTTTTAAAAACAAGATTTACTAAACGAAAAATATAATTGAGGTCTGCAGAGACAACCATGTTGTTATATTTCATTGCTTCTTACTTCTTCAGAAAAAAACATATTTAGAAACTTTTTTGTCTCTTGACAATTTTTGATAAACCTCACAGTGTTCGAGATATTAGTACAAATTGAATAAAAGAACGAAAAATCACGATGGCGTACTGGATTTGGGGATGTTCCACTAATCACAGCGACGGCGACTTTTGATATGTTCATAGGGACACTAAAAACTATCGAACACAAGTGGTGACAGCTTTAAGTTAATTTGTTGAGGTCAAGCATATACCATTTCATAATAATTAAGTAGGAAGCTCTTTCTCTCTTGCTTACTTACTAACATTTGTGATTTGGTTCATATTTTTTTATGAGATCGCAATCAATATTCAACTTTAGTATAATATCACTTATTAACACTCAGGCTCGATTTATTCATCTTCAGATAAACTTGCTGTCAACTGCAAGATAAAGTTACCGACCTATAATGTATTAGTCCATTAGTCGGCGGATAATTAGCCAATTAACGGGAATGCATATAGCGGTTTTATCCGTCAGATTGCATTACCTGACAGTTTATCAGAAGGTGAGTAAACCGGCCCTTATATGTAAACATCTCTGTTACGCACTTATGCATTTGCAAATTTCTTAACGATCCTCTCATGTGACAATTCTGAGCTATATCATTTTCAATGGACAGAAGGGTTAAATCAAAAAGTTTATCTTCTGCTAGAGCTAATCTAAGGTACTGTAATGACCCGGGAAAATAGACCCGTGAATTTACAATGTCTTCACTGTAAAAATTAAATGTAATCAAATAATCTAAAACTAAATCTCTAATAATGAACATCAGTAGGTATCAATAAATGGAAAATGAAACCAATAAAAATTGACCCAAATTAAATTAAAATACCAAAAAAAACGTTTAATTTCTTATTATTTAGTCATCATCTAAATCAAATCCATGAGAATATTAAAAGCGAGGCCAAAGTAAATAAATAGGTGAATTATGGCCACACGTGTGTTGGTACTTTTTGAGTTATATGTCCAATTCTTATAACCAAATCTGTTAACCCTAATAAACCAGGAAATTGCGGCATATTTATTCGATTTTAAACAAATAAAAGAGGAAGGTTATTGAATGATGAAATTTAGAATTTTGGGGGAACAAAACATATAAATTTTTGCACGATATACAAATACCGGAAACTAAAGACAACAGATTTGTTCAAATTTTAATGGTAATATGGGCAATACACATTGGCTGTATGTATCCTCAGTATTTTAAATAATTCATAAAAAAAAAACAATAACTGAGCACTTACTGGTTGAAAATTGTCAACGTTGACCTCGTTGTTGAGTAACTTCGCCATCCTGGAAGGACTAGGATTCGGGCCGAAATAACTTGAAGGCAATATTTCGTGTTTGGTCGTCATCCTGAGCCTCAGCATTATCCTGAGGTGTTCTTGCTGAGCCACATTTTCGGTTTTAATGGAAAGTAATACCGGGCCCAAATTTTCGTCTGTTCCTATTAAATTCGAGTGTTCCTGCAACATAACAATGTCTCGTTAGAGTATTATCGCATCATAATCTAAATTACATGTTATCTCATGCAATGTAATGTAATGTCGCCCTATACAATTTAGCAGGAGCGATTACGGGTTTGAATTAGAGATTTGAGACCACACATACACGCAAAACACTTGGCGGTACGTGTGTGAGGAGATTAATAAAATGCACCCACGATGGTTATTTTGTCGCTGCTATTTTCGACGTTAAATCTGTTAATAATTACATTATTGGCTTATTCTCTTAAAGAAAAATCAGGATTGAGACTTGTTGCGGTAAGACTTTGAAGAGCAAAGCCGCTTTTGTCGGTTTGTCAAGAGCTTAAAACTTGATTTCATTTTGACTTTATTGAGAATCCTTACAGTTTTATGCAATGAAAAGTGTGTTTTTGAAGGCATACATAATGTAGATGAAGATAAAACTATACATACCATAACAATATTACACTCATGATCATTATAAGACTTTTGTTAATATCCACAACAACTTAAATTAAATAAATAAAGCTTCCATATACATAGAAAATGTAACATTATATAGCTATATATATATACTTATACAAACAAGCTCTATATTATTCCATTCCAGGGTAGGTATGCAATTTAGAAACATAATATTCCTCAGTCATGTTAGATTACTCTCTATAGTGCACATATACGTGTATTTTTCTTTTTTTCTGTAAAGTAAAACCAAGCGAATTCGAATATGGCTTTTCTGGAAAGCATTATTGTATAAAATTTCCCAGTCGGAGATAATCAGCTCGGAGAGAGCGAACGAGGCTTTTTCATTCCGCCCAAATAACGGATCAGAACTTTCCGATACTATTTAAACAAGCTTTAATTAAAAAGTTCCACACCACATCTATGTATAGATTTTTTTTTAAAAATCGTACAAGATTATCTTTCATCCTGTCAGCAATATGCTCTTGACAAGTTTGGTTTATTATCTCGAAAACAAATAAAAACCATCTTGAAACGCATTTCCCATACGTCTGGGTAACCAGTCGTGCGCAACCATAGAATTCGTTATTTGTTGTCTTGTGTCTCTTTTTCCATTTTTATGAGGATCGTTATATTGTTTGTATTGCATATTTCACGCATCATTAACTTATTATGTACAGGGTGGTCCAATTTGGACATTAGGAAATGGCAAGTTCAGAGCGAGATACATCAAAAAATGAACCCTCCCTCTCATAAAATCTGTTGAAATCAATGGTTGAAATATACGTTAAAAAACCTGTCTGGTGTTTTAATTGTAGTTTGATAGATGACACCTGTCTACCACCAATGTCCATAGTAGTGGAAAAAGAACACCTCCTTGACGACACCCTCTGACCATGGTAGCAATAGCTGATGCTCTATTTATTTCAGCCGTAAATGTAATGTGAATCCGCTCATACACAAAATGTTATTATAAGAGATGGCTTAACAATATAGATACATACAAAAGAGGAAAGCAGCAAAAATGGATTCATATTTTCTTTTTTTTTCCATTAAACTAATCATTTTTTAAATTAAAGTCAGGTTGTTGCATTTTAACCGTTTCATTGTTTAACGGAGCGTTTTCAACAGTTCAACTCTATAGAGAGGAAATAATTCTCTCCACCGTATCCGGCCTAATAATAATAACCCAAAACGCCCCTATTGTTCGTAGCTATGAGAATGGGAAACTTCCCACATTCTTTTCCTGATTAGTATGCGCGCCGGATTAATTACCACTTTTTAATTATTGCAGGCATTTTTTATATATTGGACCAAACCCAAAATTATTTTAAAAGATTTTCTAGACGTTCCACGCCTCTATAGAAAGAATTTTTCTGTATATAGGTACGCCTTCTTGTGGCAGATCGTAGGCGAAACAATCATCGTTGGTGCATTATTGTATACGAAGGTGCGGTCATTGTTTTCTTGTCCGACTTAGTGGCAACGAAAAATTAATTATTCCACTTACCCTGCCGACGAAAAATCTCCTGTAGTACTTGGCGGTTTCGTCGGTTTCGATTTTCAATCGCCAGTCTTGATGGGGGATTATGGGTACGCCTCGGGGGTCGAATTGTTCGTCGTGGTCAGTTCCGTCCACCCAATAACTGGAAATTAATAAGAATTTTGTAATATACATTTGAATTGACTCATAAACTAGTTACTTTACATTAAAGACACACTGTAAAAAATTCTTTTGTAAGGAATTTTAATGCTTTTACAAGATTTAATCAAAGAGACTCTAGAGAAAACTGTTTTTCTGAATTTTGACTTTTTGTGGTTTCTCATCCCTTAAACTCTATAAATGCGGTCAGTAGAAAGTCTGCTATTATTAGCATTGAAACACCAACATAATGCAGACTTTTTTATTGCCAATATACTTCGACCATCATTTAATTCAATGGTAATACAAGATTTTTTATTATCCTTGTTATTACTGCTTTTTGACCTCTTTTTTGAATAATCCGAGCTTCTCACAATCAAATAAAACACTGTAAAAATTCCAAAAAAAATACCTCCGTAATTTATGAGAAAAAGCAGCGCTGAAGAAGCTCAGAATCAAACTGTTTTCTCATATCATTCGGTACGTATTACCAAGTATTTCAAAGTATTTCTAGGTATTCCTCGAAGTATTCTCAAGTATTTCTAAGCATTTATAGATATTTCCAAAGTATTTCTAGATACTTCCAAGTATTCCCAGGAATTTGTACACCGATTTCCTTGGGTGAAAAGCCCCTCGGGCGTGATCTACATTACATAGAAAATTCAGCCAATTCTGACATAAACACAATTTCCGTATACTTTGGGCAGGGTCCTTTTCATGTCCTCCATGTATAGGAGGTGGTTTATATTATGTACAGTAGTGTTTCATTGTTTGAGTTTATATCCATATTTGATGTCATTCAGTGCGTGTAAACAGGTTATGAGTCTATAGTTCGCTGGGTTATCTGTTTCATGGCTTTCGTGTATTATAAAGGTTCTGCCCTCTATTATGAACAGTGGTAAAAGGTGTGGGTTCTCGATTATTCTGTTGATCTCTCTAGTTAGGTGTTTATGTGTAGATGAAAATTGTTTATGGTTTATACCAGTAGTTGTGTATCTGGTCTGCACTTGAACATTTCCAGTTGTGCGTTTCACTTAACGTATATTTAAACCCTTCTTCTGAGATAGTGTAATTTGTTTTTTGCGGTACGTTCTGCATCCTTTCTGTTTCTTTTATTATCCAAGTAACGCGTTCTCCAGTACTCTGTTATTTGTTCCTTGCTTGGTGGTGTTGCTGGTGTTATGTTGCTGCTCGTTATTTTGTTATAGAATAGTTTTTCTCGTTGTTGGAATAACGTGTTCTGCCATTTTCTCTCGTTTGATTCCTTATATCTTTTGAGATGTGCTGAGTAGACAGACTGAGAATTTTTGTTTCAAGATTTACTGTTGTACTTTACTGTTTGTGCTTTGTTATCAGTTATGTATCTGATATTTTTCAAAATGGATTTTGTATGTTTTTCTTGCAAATATTGTGTTGTTCTTCCTATATATCTTTTCAAAGTTTGTCTATTTTCTCTCTAGTCTCAATTGCCATCCTGGTTTCGCCATTCTTGTCTCTTGCACCTGCCTCTATCTATTAGTTTCTGTTTATTTAGTTTAATGGTTGCAGCTGCACATGCGTATATGATGAGATGTATATTTTCTAAGTCTGTATCTTCTTTCAAGTATTAAATTGTTTACCGCTTTTATTGTACTGGTTTATTCAGTCTGATTTATTGGGTTACTCCAATTGATGATGTTCTGTTGGACTTCCATTTCACTTTTGTCAATTTCTATAATGGGGTCAACATGTTGGTCTATGAATTTTGGTTGTTCGTTTTGTTCAAACCCAAGATATATATTCATTTCATGTACAGGGTGTCCAAGATTCGATGGTTTTGGGGAGGTTTCAGGTATTTCTAAAGAAGTTGGAAAAAACCTGACCCCCACTTGCGAGCCTCACTTTTCAAGAGAGATTGACTGATGAAAACCGCATCTCCATATGTCGAGTCGTTTTTATGCTACGAGGTGTTTTTGAAAAGTTTGAAGTTTGGCAGGGCGGCTATAACTTTTCATCGTCAATATCTTAAACATTAATATGATGATTCAGTAGTTGTTACAATGATTCCTGATCCTAAAAATAATACCTTGATTTATAAAGTTCTTAAGTCAGATATTTCAGCCTTTGAGTTCCAAAATTTTTGTTGTTTTCAGAAAATCATCGGCTTTAGAATCCTTGGAAATCCTCAGCATTAACTCAGATTTTAACTCATGAAGTCTTCAAAGTTTTTATTAATTTTGGAATTTGAACTTTATAAATCTCAAATTTTGATTTGTCAAAGGTTTCAACTTGAAGAATCAGGAATTTTTATTTACTCCATTTATGTCTTCAGAATGGCTTTGAGAAGCTGAACTCAGAAATCTTTGGTTTCCAAAATCATGAGTTAAAGATTGTAATAGGGTCTCTAACATTTGAGTCATGCCTCAATTTTCCTCAGCTCTCAAAGTTTTCAACATCGAATTAGTTAAATTTCATAAACTTGATCCTAGACTTTTCAGTAACGAGTAATTTCTTGATTCTTCAAAGTTTTCGGCACTAAGTCAGTGTTTTTGAATCATAAAATCCTTGAAGTTTTAATTTTTTTTGGAGCTTGAGCCTCCAAAATCTCAAGTTTTGATTTTTCAAATCTTTCAACATCGAGATTGGAGTCTTCAGGGATTTTGTTGTTTGACTTTACAAGCATTTGAACTCAAAGATTTCAAAATTAAATCATGAATCTCTTGAATCTTCAAGTAATTGAATAGTGACGCATACATTTTAAAGTTGATTTACATGAATTTCTCTTGTTGCTGTTTTTAATTGGAAACTTTTGAAATTTCAATATTATGATGAACTCCTAATTTTTCTCTATTTGTCTCAAAAGTTTCACAATTTTCCCTTCATTGATTTTCTAGTAAAATAATAGAATGTAATAGGGTGTTTGAGAAGTCTTTGAAATCCAAAATCTTGATTTTTCAAAGTTTCCAACATCGAGACTAGAGACTGTGCTGTTTTCAGAATCTTGACTTTATAAGCATTTGGACTTTTGATTGAATAGTGACGTATACATTCTAAAGTTGATTTACATGAATTTCTCTTGTTGCTGTTTTTAATTGGAAACTTGAAATTTCAATATTATGATGAACTCCTAATTTTTCTCTATTTGTCCCAAAAGTTCTACAATTTTCCCTTTATTAGTTCTCTAGGAAAATAATAAAATGTAATAGGGTGTCTGAAGTCTTTGAAATCTAAAATCTTGATTTTTTTAAAGTTTTCAACATCGAGACTGGAGTCTTCTGACCCTTCAAAGACTGCAACATTGAATCCCGAGTCTCGTGAATCTGCAAATATTTGAATAATGATACATACGTTTTCAAAGTTTTCAATGAATTCAGAAACTTGATCTTGAAATGATCAATACCAATAAGTATTTTTTAATATTTTGTCATTTCATTCAATAGATGGAATCCATTAAAAAGTTATAGCTCCTCTAAATCATGATCGTGTTTTGATTTTTGATGAAAATTGGTACCTATGTAAACAGACTTTCGAGAATGACTAAAAAATCCTGTAGCATGAAATTTTCAAAAAGAAATTTAGACAATTTTGAATGGCCTTTAAGAGAAGATAGTAGAGCGATTTAGAATACATTTTTTTTTTTGGCCCTATCAGCCCATTCCAAGTTTTGTTGGTACCTACTTAGGGCGGGTATTATAAAACTGCTTTGATAGTTAACTTGAAGTTAACTGTTTGAATTACATGTAATTCCAGAAGTTAACTTTAAGTTAACTCTCAAAGTAGTTTTATAATACCCGCCCTTAGAGGTGTTTGGTTTCCTCTACTTTCAGTATACCTTGTCAAATCAATGTAGTGGTAACAAAATGAAATTTAGCCTATTGTTTTAATGCAATCAGCTAGTAGGTAAAATTTTAAAATATTAAGAGAATACTTGGAAATACTTAGAAATACTAAGAGATATGTACTCAGAAATACTTTGAAATACTAGGAAATATTTGGAAATACTACTTAAAAATACCTAGTCGAAAATACATGGAAATACCGTAAAATGTTAAGAAAAATGGAAATAGGTGTACAAATTTTGGTAGGTGAGAAGCCCCTCGATCACGCCTTTCTGATTAAAAGTTACCATTGCACCAATCCTGAAAAATTACTATACGTAGCACACCACTGCGTCACAAGCTTACCTATTTGTGTTACATTGTATGTACTTGAACAATAACTTATTTATATAAAGTCAGAATTTGTAAGATTATCCACTTTTTGTTAATTTGCCTTTCAACAGGAATTAGTAATGTTACTTAACCAGAATAGTAGCATGATGTGACAAGTTATTCAAGTACAAATGAGTGAATTGTTGCGGAACTTATGGTTGGACCTCTGAGGGACGAGCGCAGCGAGTTCCGCAGCCATCTATTCATCAATATGTGGTTTAATCACGATATTAAACTGACTCACTCAAATGTGCGTTACTCTCATTAGTTTAAAAATTACACGTTTCAGGTGAATATCTTACTTGAACAGTTCAACAGTATATTGGTCATTAGATTGCTGCGGAACTCGCTGCGCTCGTCCCGCAGAGGTCCACCCATAAGTTCCGCAACAATCCACTTATTTATACTTAAACAATAACTTAATACATAAAGGTAGAATTTGTAGGATTATCCACTTTTTGTCAATTTGCCTTTCAATAGGAATTAGTAATGTTACTTAACCAGAATAGTAGCATGATGTGACAAGTTATTCAAGTACAAATGAGTGAATTGTTGCGGAACTTATGGGTGGACCTCTGCGGGACGAGCGCAGCGAGTTCCGCAGCCATCTATTCATCAATATGTGGTTTAATTACGATACTAAACTGACTCACTCAAATGTGCGTTACTCTCATTAGTTTAAAAATTACACGTTTCAGGTGAATATCTTACTTGAACAGTTCAACAGTATATTGGTCATTAGATGGCTGCGGAACTTGCTGCGCTCGTCCCGCAGAGATCCACCCAAAAGTTACGTAACAATCCACTTATTTATACCTGAACAATAACTTATTATATAAAGTCAGAATTTGTAAGATTATCCACTTTTTGTCAATTTGCCTTTTAACAGGAATTAGTAATGTTACTTTAGCAAACTAGTAATATATTGTGACAAGTTATTCAAGTATAACGAGTGGATTGTTGCGGAACTTATGGGTGGACCCAACCATTTATTCACCAATATGTTGTTCAAGTACAATACCTGATTCACTCAGTTGTGAATTTTTGTCATTAGTTCAAAAGTTACATGTTTCAGGTGAGTGTCTTATTTGAACAGTTCAACAGTATATTGGTGAGTAGATGGCTGCGGAACTCGCTGCGCTCGTCCCGCAGAGGTCCACCCATAAGTTCCGCAACAATCCACTTATTTATACTTAAACAATAACTTATTACATAAAGGTAGAATTTGTAAGATTATCCACTTTTTGTCAATTTGCCTTTCAATAGGAATTAGTAATGTTACTTAACCAGAATAGTAGCATGATGTGACAAGTTATTCAAGTACAAATGAGTGAATTGTTGCGGAACTTATGGGTGGACCTCTGCGGGACGAGCGCAGCGAGTTCCGCAGCCATCTATTCATCAATATGTGGTTTAATCACGATACTAAACTGACTCACTCAAATGTGCGTTACTCTCATTAGTTTAAAAATTACACGTTTCAGGTGAATATCTTACTTGAACAGTTCAACAGTATATTGGTCATTAGATGGCTGCGGAACTCGCTGCGCTCGTCCCGCAGAGGTCCACCCATAAGTTCCGCAACAATCCACTTATTTATACTTAAACAATAACTTATTACATAAAGTTAGAATTTGTAAGATTATCCACTTTTTGTCAATTTGCCTTTCAGGAAGGCGTGATCTAGGTACATTATATCCTCCTGAGACCTAACGTCCATTTTATTGGACATCCAGTTTTACATTTTTAATTTCGTTCCTATCAAAATTATACCCCTTGAAACCTGATGTTCATCCTATTCAACCCGTTTGTAACGCCATCTATAGCACTGCGCGCTCGAAAATACTGATATAACCACATGTTATTTGTTATTCCAATCATGGCGGCGTTTCGTAAACCAACGTATGATGGTAAGTAGTGTTTTTTTTATTGTTTATCGATATTTTATTGCTGTTTTTTGGGAAATTACTATGTGTTATAGTTTATTAAGTAAATATTTCACTATAAATGTTTGTGGGTAAGCTTTATTTCTTATCAATCGCCCTAAATTCCTCGCGTCCATCTTGATGGACGTGAGGACTATTTTTCGACAATTTAAAATTTAGCTATGTCCAATAAAGTGAACATGGGGACTTTCTCAAGAATTTTTTTTTTGTAATTCCAGCAATATTTGGTGAGAAAAAATATTTACGGCCGGGCATTGATGACGATGTATTACTTCAATTATTGGACGTTGATTCGTCTGACGTAGAAGGCTTTGAAGACGGCGAAGAAAATGATGAGTTTGAAGAGAATGTAGCGGAGAATGAAGAAAATAATGTAATATATTTGGATGAAGACCAAGAGGAAGATATGGATACTTTAGAAGAAGACCAAGAAGAAAATATTGAGATGTTAGAAGAAGAAGCCGAAGAAACATCTAGGGATGGCGTACGAAATGAAGAACTCGATTGGGAATCGGATGATGATTTACCTTTAAGCGTGTACATAACTAAATTAGCAGGAAAAAATGGCAAGAAAAAATCCAAAAAATAAAATTACACCTGGAAAAACTGTGAGGCTTTTTCTGGAACACATTTCGATATTCCAGTGAATACTGATAACTGTGACGAAAGGCAAAATTTCTCGGTGTCTTGCCATGTATTTCGATGACAATAATTTTCAACAAATCTGCCACTCCACAAACGTAAAATACATGTCACTACACCAAAAGCCTCTTCATTTAACAGTTAAGGAAACTAAACATTTTTTTGGAATAAGCATCCTGATGTCACTTTTAAAATATCCTAGAATACGAATGTATTGGGCAAAGACAACAAAAGTTTACGCTATAGCCTCAAAAATGACTAGAGATAGATTTTTTGTTATTAGAAACCATTTGAAGGTAGTTATTGATGGTGATATTTCAGAAGAATATCGCCAAAAAGATAAGCTTTGGAAAATTAGACCTATCATGAAGAAAGTTCGAGATATATGTTTGACCTTACCAAGAAAAGCTGAAGTCGCGATAGATGAACAAATGATACCATTCACCGGGGTATGTGGTGTCAAACAATTTGTGCGTGGTAAGTCCAATCCTGAAGGCTGACACACTGAAAACGTACTTCCATAATAGAGAACACCCATTATTACACAAAGCTATAGTAAAAATTGACAAAAACTATACAACAAGTACAAAATATGAAACATTATACACTATACTACATAAGAAAAGTTACACAAAAATGGTCAAGTATAAGCCGCTTTATACGGCAGACATTATAATAATGTAGATCAGAAGCACATCGATGAAAATTCAACATATGTGTTCCTAAAAAAGGGCCAGCTCCACTCTGAGACAGAAGGATTCAAGTGATTAATTTAAGTATAGAAAATATATCATATAAAGGATATGGCTCTGTGAAAAACGACAAATGTAGAAAATGTCAACTACTTCCTGAAACAAATAGACCACATAATATCTGGGTGTTGTAAAATGTTAGCAGGTATTGAGTAAAATTATTCCTTTTATCATCTCAGCAACAGATATCGCGCCAAATACATTCATTAAACACCTTCATCAACTGGGTCAATGAAAACATACACTCCCAAGCTCAAAAAGCCACTATACTCCAAACTTGTAATATCACAAAATCCTTTCTCAACCAGAACTGACCTCTCCTCCAATAGAATTGAAGACTGGAAGCAGATTATAATTATTCAAACTTGTACCTGAGCCTATGGGTAGTATAATTTGAAACCCAAAAACCCAATATTTGGAGAGGGGATTTTTATGGATAAGGGTAAATCCGAGTGGGTTTTCTTGAAAAAGTTTGTACAAATTTTGTATGAGGCTAACGAAAGTATTGGGTCACTCTGTAAGGAGTTTAGGAGATTAAAATTTGATTCATTGTACCCAGTCATCAAAAAATATAGCTTTGACCCTACAACTCAGTTTTCTCAAACCCCTGAAATTTGTACTAGAAAAACGTTATCGATTCTTACCCTTTTGGTGGTCCAGGTATCATAGCATAAGGTCCAGGTCGCGACAAAGCCTCCTGCAATATCCTCCTGGCTTGAGGAGGCTGTTGAGGCGACAAGGGCGGCGTGTTGGTACCCAAAGGGTGCGGCGACCCGGCCGGCGATATTTTGATGTTGTTGTTGTGCCCCAGTCGCAGGTCATCTTTGGAATCTTGCCGGGGCGACAGGTTTTCTTTGGGGATCGAGCCGGTGGTAAGCTGACGCTGAATTTGTGGCTGAAACATAAACAGAAACTGTTGTGAAAGTTTTCAAGATTTATGCTTGTATTGTGCAAGTTTCCCATAGGATGTTTTTCATTATAGAAAACGCAATTATTGTCGAAATAAATTTGTGGGAATTCAACGACACACTTCGCACCACAAACAATGAGACAAAAGTTTTGCTAACGAGTCACTTTGTAATTGAAGACAATGCAAAAAAAAAAATTGAAAACACATAATTAAGATTTCTAAATAAATTATCGTTTCAGTTTCTGACCTTTTTGTGCGGCGCACATAAATCAATCCCATAGCGAGTTATTAAGGCCAATTTAATTTAATCAGGGAGCATTAGCGGCTAACTAGATTTGCGCTGATGCGGTTCAATCAAAAATAAATGCTCAAAACAAATGGAATTAAAATCGTGTTAGACGGGTAAAGGTTCGGGTTACTAATCTTGTTAGCTGAATAGTTCGATTTGATTAATCCTTTTGTATAATTTGGAATAGTTATTTTATGTTAAAGCCTTATATAAAGACTTCAAGCTATCGACTGTCAAAGTTGAGTTTCAGGCAAAAACCTTTCAGTCTAATCTTCTCACAATAACTAATCAATAACAGAATCCAGACTGAACATCTTTTATGCTAGTAATAGACCCGCCATCCATTACTGACCAGGTTTTTTGTGTGCATATTTCCAATTTATTTTCGCACGCGATTTCCATATACGCATCATCCATCAAGTTTTATTAATAAAAAATCTGCTGGATGCAAAATACAATCATAATACCAAAACCCTGGAATATGGATCACGATGTTTATTAGCAACTGGATCGATTTTTGTACTGCAAAATTACCTTGAGACATGCACATCTGATTTATTGTTCAATGTAAAACTCTTACCTTCTTCTTTCCTTTGATTCGAAAATCGTCCAGAAACGTATCGAAACTCTTGCCTCTCAACATACTTCAATATTTACATTTGACCCTAAACCCACAAGACAGAGACGTAATTTTGTCCACTAAACAAACAAGACTTCCTGTATATAAAAAGACACAAAGAGGCACTCAAAAAAACTGCTAGCCTTCCGGACAAATACTAGATTTTCAGCAATCGTCGCTGTCCTATTTATCTAATAATTCGAACGATATATACGTCAATTTGATTGGTCATTTAGCTGGACGCCGCTAAATGGTGTACAAGGATTCGATATTTTATTAATCGAGAATGGGATATACTGAATAAGAATTATTGTTATAGATTCATTTGTATGTATTTACAAATAGGATTTGGAAATATTTTCCTATAACTAACAAATATCGTAAGAATAATTGATTTTAAATCGACTCTCGACATAATATGATTCCTTTTTCCAAAAGTATTGATTCAAGGTTTGCTTGATTGTTTTATCAATTCATATTCCTGCATAATTTTTATCATATCTTTCAATAGTAAAATTTTGCGTTCTGGAGTTTCCTCATAGCTAACAAGTGATAACTACAACAACTGGAAATTTAGAGTTGAAATATTACTAGAAAAGGAAAGCCTGAAAGAAGTGTTAACTACAAGTCAATAGGACTATGGAGATAAAGTTCCAGTATGATAAGTCAGATGCCAAAGCATTTGATTACAGATGTGCACAAAATTGACCTGAAAGTGTCAGTGATCCAATAGCATCTTTATTTTCGAGAGGGAAAAGTTGGTTTTTCAGCTGACATAAAGGAAATGTTCCTACAAGTTGGCATTATACAAAAAGATCAACATTCACAAAAATCCCTTTAACGTAATGGCAACCCTGAAATAAAGATCATCTAGGAACATTATGTTATGAATGTGATGACATTTAGTGCTACAATGCTAACTTTTAGGAACATTTCCTTTATGTCATCAGCTAATAGACCAACTTTTCCTTGTCAAAAACGTAGAAGCCCTCCGAATAAGGATGCTAATTGATCATCTCCCTTCAGAAGAACAGAATTAAGTGGAATATTTTGAGTTTTAGCTGCTATATCCCAAACAATTCTGAATTTATTTGGATTGAAAAATGCGAATATTGGAAGATACCAAATCCTCTGGTGTTTTTGAGACAGTTAGGTGCTAGCTGACGTCTCACATATAACCTCAATGACATGTTTGTCCCCCTAACGAAAGTCACGTTATGTCATTTGTGACAAGCTAGCGCCTGTGTGTTAAATGGACCTTTCAAACGCTTTGTTTGTCCCCCCAACGGAAGTGAGGTTATGTATGTGACGTCAGCTAGTGCCTAGTTCTTCTTCAGGTAATTTGGTAATATACTTTTTTTTTAAAGAAAATCTTGCAACTGCTCGTTCATTTTAATACCTAATTCTGGATTAACTTTACCTAATTTGCCTTTCAATACATTCCAGTCTTTGTAGGGCCAAAACTATTTGGTAATTTTAAATTATTGTATTTCCAAAGTAATCCAATCCGATACTGGGTTTGTGCGAAATTATCGATGAAAAATTTTAAATTGAAATTGAAAGATATCGAAACTGAAAAGGATATTTTTTCACCTTAGCTGGTTTTACTTCCAAACTCCACTCAGCTGGCCAGCTCTTTCAGGAAGTTCAAGTCCAATGCGAAGGAGTACAAACGAAACCGTCTTGATTTAACCGGTCGCGGCAAAACGAAAAACCGCAGGTCTATTTTCTCGAACCACATGAAACGGACGGAGTGTTTTTGGCGACTGATTTACTTGCCGGTAGTGTAGAGACTTTTTAGATATCCTTCAGTGTTTAACGCGCGCATTCTTAAAAGCCAAATTTAGCAAAGCCGTATCAATTTTTAGGGATATAGCAAGCGTAATTCAATTAGAATTAAAAAAAAAACGAATCAAATTTCGTTCCCAGATAGGATTTGACATCCTAAGTACCCAATTTAACCTACAAATATATACAGGGCGCGCAAACGAAGCTGAACAGGGTTTCTTTTTGAACTAGAGTAGATTCTTGTAGGTGGCGTGCTCTTTCGATTTCCTAAACTTTCTATACTAAGATAGAATTTTACCGCATCAAAAAGTTCTTGGTTTTTCAGCTGACATAAAAGTCACGAAAATCGGTTTTCTGCGAAAATCTCGCTTCCAGTGCATCTGACGTCAAAGAACCCAAAACAAAACTTACGTAAAACAGTATTTTCTACAAAATTGTTCATATACATTTTTTTGTACAACCAACCGTTTTCGAAATATAGCGTGATAAAGCGGGAGCGCGCATTCAAAATAGGTGATACTGTATTATACAGGGTGTCCTCGTTTAACTGGTCAAAAATGCTAGGGTATATAGACAAACCATGGAGAAGTAATTTGAGACCGGACACTGATGGTCGGAAGTGCGTCATTTCCAAAATACAGGGTATTGAAATTTAAACAACCCCTTTTCATATCATCTGGAGGGCTAATGCTAGGCTGTTCAAAATTTCAGGGATTATTGATGTAGGAATGATATTTAAAAATTCGTATAATGCACCCCCATTTTCTACCTGGAACCGTCCCAAAAAAAAAAACTTAAACTTTTTTTTTTTGGGTAGTTCTAAGTAGAAAATGGGGGTGCATCATACGAATTTTTAAATATCATACTTACATCAATAATCCCTGGAAATTTGAACAGCCTAGCATTAGCCCTTCAGATGATATGAAAGGGGGTTGTTTAAATTTCAACACCTTGTATTTTGGAAATGACGCACTTCCGACCATTGGTGTCCTGTCTCAAATTACTTCTCTATATATGGTTCCTGTATATACCCTAGCATTTTTGATCAGTTGAATGGGGGCACCCTGTATAATACAGTATCACCTATTTTGAATGAGCGCTCCCGCTTTATCACGCTATATTTTGAAAACGGTTGGTCGTACAAAAAAATATATATGAACAATTTTGTAGAAAATACTGTTTTACGTAAGTTTTGTTTTGGGTTCTTTGACGTCAGATGCACTGGAAGCGAGATTTTCGCAGAAAACCGATTTTCGTGACTTTTAACCTTCGATATCTCAAGACGCACAAGGGTAGGCATATTCGATTTTTTTGTGTTTCATTAGAACATCAAAACGAAGCTCTCTGCAAAAATTCAGCTTGTTCGGCCTCATTACGCAGATGGCCCTTTTTTTGGTCTAATTTCCCTAGGGTATAATTGGTATTACAGAAGAAGATCAACATTCACAAAAGTTCCTTTAGCGTAATGGCAACCTTGAAGATCCTTTAGAAACATATGTTATGAATGTGATGACATTTGGTGCTACATGTTCTACCAGCAATGTTCAGTTTGTAAAAAATAAAAATGCGGCAAAATATATGACCGAATGAATATTCAAGAGCTGTAAAATGCATTATTAATAGTTGATGATCTTTTAGATTCGCACACTGAAGATGAAGCAATCGAAATAGCAATATCAACAGAAAATCCAAGAATGACAAGAAAGATAGGGAATATAGCAACAACAAAAATAAAAGAGCGAAGCGGAAAAGGAAAGAGAACGGAAAATGAGTCTTGAACCTTGAAGGTCAAGAAGTCCTTCACCTGTTAAAGTTAGCAAAAAGGAACGAGAACTCACAAAAGAAAGAGAGGCCAAAGAATCACGTGACAAAGACAAATAAAAGAAGTCAAAAAACACAAAAAAAAAAGCTAAATAAATAGAGGAAAAACAGCATGTTCATGGCGAATTCACGGGGTATTGTGTAGGCGAATCATGTCTTCGCTCACTATAAACTTGAAGAGAGAGGAAATTTATTCAGTCACTGAAGATTTTCGCAATAAGTTATTGAAAGGTAGTGCGGTGGTGGGATAAGCTTCGAGTTCTCCAGAAAATTCAATAAATCATTCAAGTAAGTCAGGTGACAAGACCCAAATGACCAACAAAGTAAATCCAAAATGAGTTGTGAACAACTCAAAAAGTACAAACTTAAACTTAAGGAACCAATTTACTAATTTATTTGGCACTCGTATTACCAAAACCAGTCATCTCTATAGATGTACTTAAAATTCAGGAACCTCCAAAGCCAGTA